GTTTGAAAAAAAAAAACTAATAAAAAAGAATTAATATATAATTATTAATTAATATATTATTAGTTAATTCTTTTTTATTAGTTTTTTTTTTCAAACAGTATAAATATGCTAATAAAAACCAGCAATTTTTTTACTTTAACGTTTTTAAACATGAAGTATAATTCGATTTATTAAACCAAATTTTTTTGTTTTATCTTTTATTGGAAATCTTGAAATAGAAAAATTGAATAAAAACATCAACCATTTAAATGAAAAACTTAATTATATTTAAACTTTTATTAGTCCTTTATTCAAGAAACAATAAATTATAAAAAACGTGGTATCTAAGTTTTTGACGATGTTATTTGATTTATTGACGATAACTTTTTCCCCCCATTACCGCACATCGGCGCGAGCTATAAGAGAGAGAGAGAGGGGGGGGGGAAAGGGGGAGAGAGCAAAAAAAAAAAAATTTTTTTCGCGATTAGATTTTTTTGCATTAATTCGAGCCTTGTCTTAGATTAATTTCTAATAAAATGTCTATTCAACCTTATCAATTTGAACCAAAAAAATATAGCAATTTAACATAAATGTTAATTCAACTAAAACATTTTACAATCATTATTTTTTGTATCAAGCAAAAATGAGAGTAACCGTCACTTTTGAAACCATAAAAATTACTGAAATAAATATATATATATATATTTTTTTTTTAAACATCTTCACTTCCAACAAGGCTGCAAGCAACCACTATAAGAGTTGGAAGTTACTGGAAGAGAAAAGACTAAATCTGTAGAGCAAGATAACGATTGACTGATGACTTAAAAGATTGCAAATTATATGAATCAGGAAAGCAAGATGAAGGAAGCGAATTCCAAAGAACTGATGTTCGAGGAAAAAAACTAGAAGAATAAGAGTTTTTGAAGCACTTAGGAACAGTCACAGAAAAAGGATGAGACTTAATTGAATGGCGAGTAACACGAGAGTGAATTTTAGTAGATGGCACAAGGGACGCTAGCTCTTTAGAGCAGTGCCCATGATAGTATTTGTAGAAAAGAGAAAGAGAAGCAACATTACGACGATGTGACAAAGGTTGGAGATTGGCTGCAAGAGCAGGTCCAACTATGTTTACAATTCGTTTTTGCACCTTGTCTAAAAGAGAAAGAGCATCATTAGAAGATCCGCCCCAGATGTGGCAACAGTATTCCATACAGGGACGGATTTGAGATTTATAGAGATAGAGAATAGAATCTGGAGTAAGAAAGTGTCGAGCTCGATAAAGAGATGCAACCTTAGCAGATGCTAATTTTGCAATGGATTTGATATACGGTTTAAAAGAAAGATCAGAAGTAAGAGTTAATCCTAGAAGATGAATGGTAGATGACTCATCTAGTACATTACCATTCATAAATATAGGAAGATCTAAATTATTACGATAACGATTGGCCGAATAAAATTGAGTTTTATCTGAATTAAAGTTCACCAGCCACTGTGAGCCCCATGCTGTAGCAGAAGTGAGATCCTTTTCAAGCTCAGATACCCCCTCCAAGCAATCAGAGAGTGTAGGCTTCTTATCATGACAAGAGTAAATGGTAGTGTTGTCAGCGAATAATGCCACCTTAGATGTGAGAATATCTGGAAGATCGTTAATGTAAATTAAAAAGAGTATAGGGCCAAGGATTGAACCTTGAGGAACCCCTGAAGTTACAGGATGTGAAGAAGAGTGTTGTCCATCGAGGACAACTTTTATACTACGATTGGAAAGAAAGGACTCAATAATCTTAAAGACGTTACCAGCTACACCATAAGAAGAATACTTATGGAGAAGACCAGCATGCCAAACTTTATCAAAAGCTTTAGAAATGTCAAGTGCGATAGCCTTAACCTCTCCACCTCTATCTAATGCACGGTAAAACCTATCGGTTATTACTGTTAGCACATCAGCTGTAGAACGAGAAGACCGAAATCCATATTGATGATCAGAAAGTAAGTTATTTGATTCAAGATGAGAGATTAAGTGTTTGTTGATTAAAGATTCAAAAACCTTGCTTATGACAGGAAGAAGACTAATGGGACGGTAGTTAGATGAATCAGATCGCTCTCCGGAATTTTTGAAAATAGGGATAACAGATGCTGCTTTCCAGCATGATGGAAAACAAGACTCTGATAAGCACTTGTTAAATAGTTTAGAAAGTATGGATGAAAGCTCCGGAGAACACCTCTGCAAAACTACAACAGGAATGTTGTCAGGACCACAAGCTGTTGAAGAGTCTAAGCAGGAAATTACTTTAGATACAGAAGCTGAAGTGATGCGAATGTCAAGCAAGGGATCAACCTGTTTGACGGCTATGTCAGGTAAAACGCAACTAGTGGAATCAAGAGATGATATTGATGAAAAGTTCTTAGCAAACAATTCAGCTTTGTCTTTAGGTGAGGTGACAAAGTCTGAACCATACAAGAGAGAAGGAATAACAGATTTGCCCTTATTATTGATACTGTTAAAGATTCTCCAGAAGTCTCGAGAGCCTAATTTTTGTGATGAGATACGAGATTTAATGACCTGGGAATAGCGAGCTTTGGCGTCAGACAAAACCTTTTTACAATGGTTTCTGGCGATAGTGAACAGATGTCTGTTTTCTGGAGAATTGTTTTGCTGATAGATATGGAAGTAACGGTTTCGATTAGAAATTGCTGCAGCGCAATGTGAGGAAAACCAAGGAGAAGAGTGAGGTTTGACCTGGAATCGTCGAGAGGGAATAAAAGATTCCATGCCAGCCTGAATCCACGAAGTTATGTAAGAAGCACATTTGTCAGCAGGAAGACGAAAGATTTCTACCCAAGGGCCATCACGAAGAAAATCACGGAAAGAGTCCCAGTCAGCTTTAAGGTAGTTGTATGTGGTACGATGATAGGGGGATTCTGATGAAGTAGAAGAATTTGATAATAGTTTTAGAGAGATCAAACCGTGATCAGAAGAACCTAAGGGTGAATGTGGAGAAATTGAGCACTGACTAGGATCCAAAACAAGACATAAGTCGAGTAGAGAAGGTAAATGATTAGGGTTGTCCGGAAAACGAGTTGGAAAGTTGACTATTTGAGTTAGAGATTGAGAAAGGCAAAAGTTGAGGGCCTTAACGCCAGCAGAGTCACTGACACTAGAGCCAAGCCAATCGGTGTGATGGGCATTAAAGTCACCAACAACGACGATATTGGCCGATGGATAAAGAGAGAGGGCTTGGTCAATTTGATCAGAAATAACATCAAGAATAGTGCAATCTTGGGATGAAGGAGAGCGATATAGAACAAAGAGAAAGGCAATAGAGTGAAGTTGTGCTAAACGAAAGCACATAAATGAATAGTCTGTAGATTCAAACCTAGTTTCACGACAAATGGGTGAGTTCTTACGAATGTAGATGCCCAGGCCAAGCATGTGATTATTGGAGTCTTTACGAATTAAAGGAAGATAACCATCAACACTAAGATCACAAGATGGGACAGCCGAACTCAAATTAGTCTCACAAAGAGCAAAGAGGTCTGGTGAACTTTGCAAGAGATAAGACTCAACAGAAGAAAAGTTACTTCGAAGACCACGAATATTAGTAAATGATAGATTTAGAGAACTTGGTGATGACAATGGTTTTTTGTGTTTTTTAGTTTTAGGTACTTTAGTCATTTTAAATTTATAAAGAACTTGACTCAAGTATAGATAGTACTCAGTACACTATTTAACAACTAAGCAATAGCCTCATTACTATTAATAAACCCTAAGCCGTAACAAAGGGCTCCAAATGTGGTCTCTGCAATGCACACCAAAAGTACAAACAGGGACACCATCCATGCGCAACATGGCACTGTTAGTACTCTGATATTTTTCGGCTGTTGATGGAATCAGCCTCTCTGAGAGCTACCACAGAGTTCGGGAAACCTGACTACCAGCCGGCCTCAGAACCATAAAACTGAGTTTTAGAGCTGTACCCTCATTAGGAGATAATAGAATGAGTTGCCCAGTCATAAAAATAGAGACACAAGCAATACCCACGCATTGAGTCAAGAAGATCCAGCGTTCAACATCCTAAACTGGAAACAATGTATTAAAAATACATCTGCGCCAGCCTAATAGATGAGGAAGGGGTGCGAGGCTGGTCAACAGATAGAATCTGTTTACCCCTTAATTTTTACTAAGGAAATATTTTAAATAAACTTTCTTATGTCTAAGTCAATATTCATTTGTTTTTAACTGAATAAAAAGAGTTTAAAATTTGACTTCTATTCATTTTTAGCCGTGGAATTGCCCTTATAACACAAATATATAAATTAATATTATAAAAAAAATTTTAATATACAAATATATTTTCACATAATGCTACAAAACTTATTCTTGTAAGTAATTATGTGTTAGTTGAAAAAAAACGACTTTACTTTTAAATTTAATTACCTAATAAGTTTGCAATAATGACATTTTGTCTACTTTGTTTAATTTGACGTACTAACGTTAGTTTTTTGAGGCAGTAGAGTCAATAAACTTTGGACAAGACGCATTTTTTTTAATCGAAGAAAAGCGTTTTTTTGAAAATTAAATTTGTTAGTGTGTGTTCATTATTGCGTTTTAGAAAAAATAATGTATATCAAACATTTTTTTTTTTTAATGCTCTTTCATATGAGATCATATCTTTATAGCACTTAGGGATCCCTTTAAAAGAAAATTAAAGAAAAATTTAAATTCTAAATAAAATAATTACATTAAAACAAACATTTTATCATTTTATATAAACAACAAAACGAATGCTTTATTTAAACTCTTAATAAAAATAATTGCATAAAAGTGTTTTCATGATGTGAAAAGCATTTTTGCACTAGCATGTGGGCGAGCGCAAAAATGCTAGAGCAGAAAAGCAATGGTCAAACAGATAAGATTGATTATACTAAAGCAAAAAATAATGATACAATAAAAAGTTGATATTATTTTTATATAGTGAATTATTGTAAAACAACAATTTTAATACATATTTATATCAACTTACTGGCATTCATTAAAACAGACTACATTGCTATCAAACTCATCACTTCCGTCGCAACAATCTGAAAAATGTTTAACTTGTATAAAAACTTTTTTATTGTTAATTTTATAATTTATGTTATCTTAGTTTATATAAATATAGAAAATAGACAAGAAAAACTTTTAATAAAAAAATAAACCTATAAGCTATAATAATTTGTATAATAATTTGTTACATAACTTATATAACTATAATAACGTGTATAATAACTTGTAATTAAAAAAGGAAGCCTTGCAGCACAATGCCTCAACCTTTTTTTTCTTCTTAAGTTTAACACCCATGGTTTTATTTGGACAATTTAGAAAAGTATCTATAACACCATTTTCTTATTTAAATTTAAAACAGCTGCTTAAAAACAATAGTCTACAAAAACTTAAATTTTTTGCATACTGAATATGGACAGCTTGACAGACAGAGAAACAGAAACCAATACCCTATGTTGGATGAGCATAACTGTTTCAACATTTTAATCTACTTACACAAGTTTACAATCTACCACTAATTAGACAACCTAATAACTCAATATACTCAATAAATAACAAAATAACAACAAATAACAAGAACAAACAGAATATAATTGAATAAGGAAACAACTTTAAACACAATCTACCTAATAATAAAAAAAGACAATTTTTTGGCAATACAATAGTTAAATTCGCAGATTCAATCAGGACTTAGGAGCTGGTCTGTTAAATATTTGATCCTCACTATGAGGCACTGAGGAATTTCATATTTTAAAAATTATACTTAGCTGATGTAAATAAAATTGTTTTTGTATAGATTCAAAAAAGCAGTTGCATTTTTGAATGAATTTAAAAACAACTTTAAAATACATCAGCTATGAACAAAAAAAAAATTTGATCAAAATAGTTTTTGTAATATGTCATGTGGTTGTTATTGATGCATATGATAAGTTACTTTAAAACAATATGGAGAATCCCACTTTTAAACAAAAATTCAGGTGATTAGAAGAAATTGAATCAGCTTTAAAGAAAAACAATATTGCGATATCACGTATTATTTGTGATCGCCATCAGATCATCAAGTGATGAAAATTATCTAGATGAAGCTATACACAATAAAGAACATAAAATGTATTTATGTTCTTTATTGTGTTAAGAACATAAAATGTATTTACAGGTGTAAACATACCAAGATTGAGGTGATGTACACTTTAACGTTAGCTAATAGTGATGTTTTAAAAGAAACATATATTCCCAAAATTTGGCAAATGTCCAGTATTCAATAATATATTTCTAGATGCAGTTTATGTAATCAGTAATTCAAAATATATTTCTAGATGCAGTTTATGTTGAAACTAGATATAGAATACAGTTAGAAGAGAACCAGATATATGCAAAACAAGGCTTAAAGCAAAACAAGGCTTAAAAGCAATAAGCAGAAAAAAACTTATAAAAGAGATGCCAAAAATATAAAAGTAAGTTAAGAAATAAGAAATACTGCTGAATCATTTACAGCAATTCATTCAGTTTTAGGTAAATCTAATTTTGATGAAGACAAGTTTAAAAAAGAACTTGATAAAAAAGAAAAAAGGAGAAAGCATGACCAAAATTAATTTTTTAGATAAAAATACTTTTAATACAAATTTCATGTATAACTAAAGTTATAGGAGAAAAAGAGTGTTTAAAAGTGAAATCATTAACATTAATATTAATAAGAGGTAAACATAGGTCTAATTCTTTGTCTGGTTGACAGAAACTTGAAAAGTTGTAGTTTGTAGGAGTCAGGAAACATGAAGATAGGAGAAAGTTCCAAAAGGATGAAGTGCGGGAAAAAAAACTAGATATATAAAAATTTTTATAGCATGCAGGGACAGATACAATTAAAGAATGAGATTTTGTGGAATGACGATTCAAGCAAGTACAAGTTTTGTTGATAGAACTAGAGATAATAGCTCCTTTGAGCAGTGACCATGATAAGATTTATAGAAAAGAGAGAGGCTCAAGCTCGACAGATAAAGCAGATCCAACTACATTTAAAATGTATTTTTGTCTAAAAGCATTATTAAAAAAACAAACCTAAATATGACAAGAGCGTTCCATACAGGGATAAATAAGAGATTTGTAGAAGTAGAGAATGGAATCAGGAGTAAGATAAAGGTAAGCACGATAAAGACAACCTTAACAGATGCTAACTTTGCAATCGATATATGGACATATAAAGAGGACTCAGTGGAGTTATAAAAATTAAATTATAATTGTAGCTTTATGCTCTGAGGTGCAGCTTAATTTTTCAATCTTATGTAGAAAAAAATTCTTTACTCATTTTTTACTCATTTTTTTAATTCAATAATTTAATTTAATTGAAAGAAATAATAACAAATAATAGACACATTTATTTTTCTTTAAAACTTTTAAAATTTTAAAATAGTAGAGTATTTATAAAGAAATACTAAAAAAAGAAATCTGATTTACATCTGTAACTCTATTTGCAGTTCGCATTTCTTATTTAACAGAAAATATTATGATCATTAGGATGGCATTGCCATGGGTTCTAATTTACCGCCAACTTTAGAAAATGCTTTTATTAAGTTTTATGTGACAATTTACTTATAAACATTTAAATACATCCATTAGGTGTAAAAAAAACTAAAAACTGAAAAAATTAAAAGCTTAAAATTAAAATATATATATATATATATATATATATATATATATATCTTTATATATATATCTTTATATATATATATATATATATATATATATATATATATATATATATATATATATATATATATATATATATATATAAATATATATATATATATATATATATATATATAATATATATATATATATATATATATATATATATATATATATATATATATATATATATATATATATATATATATATATATATATATATATATATATATATATATATAGGGAGAGAGAGAGAGAGAGAGAGACAGAGAAAAATACATACCACCTATATAGGGAGAGAGAGTTACAGACAGAGAAAAATACATACCACATATACCATCATTCACACGAGATGACTGAATATACTTTCCCTCGTGCCCAATATTAGTGCAATAAAACTTTCCATTTGGACATGCAGCAGTTCCTGCAAAAAAAAAGTTTCAGCTCTAAATAAACATTTGTACTTTATTCCAGGCATTCCCCTTGAAAAAGATGTTTTTTTTGGAGAAATGACAAATTAAGTCTTTCCAGGAAGCATGTGTGCGGTCGCGCGCCTTGTTCGTCCATGCTTAAAGTAATTTTTTTAGACAACTTGACCACATTTTTATATAGTAAGTGTTTTAAGAGTTAGCGGCAAAATAAAGCTATAAAAAAGTAAAGAGAATTAAACAGCAATACTGGAAGAAAAGAACCGAAGACTATACGAAATAAAAAATCTAAAAAAATGGAATATTAATAAAAGAAAATTGTTGTTAAAAAAATAATATACCTAAATATTTTACTGTTTTTGCTTTCATATTTTTAGGGCCTTTGTTGTTTTCCACTATCAAAATTGATACAAGTCAAGGAAAAAAGTAGATATGAATATAATGAAAATAAATGTATTTTTTGTTATACAATATTTTTTGCAACTTTTTCAGCCAGTATATTAAGGAAATACTTAATAATTTGCACTAGAAACATTAACAATTTTTAAATTTGATTTTCAAATGTTTTCGCTAAACTTCATTGTTTTTATCAATGCACAAGAAAGCGAGAATAATTGCTATTTATTTGTAAAAAAAAAAAAAAAAAAAAAAAATTTTTTTTTAAATAAGTTTTTTATGTAAAAAAATAAACAGATATTAATACTTATATTTATATATAAAATATTTTATATTGGATTATCCAAATTGCGCATTTAAACCCGATAGCTAATTTCCTGATTAATTATTGTTATTGATGATCCTCCAAAAGCTTGTGGGCTAGTGCATCAATACTTTACTGAACTTTTTTAATAAAATGTTTAGGAGCCTATTTAAAACTTCTTTTTAAGTTTTTAAATACATTTTTTTTAAACAGAGCAATCGTTATGTTCATTATCTCTAGTAATTCTTATCAACATTGGAATTTGTCATAACATTGGAATTGTATTAACATTGGAAATTTTGCATTATAAAAGAAATAATTCCAGACATGCATCCAATGCGATAAATACATTTATTAAAAAAAACCATGTTATTTTTTTATTTAACATTACAAAAATTATTAATCAAATAATATATTTTACAAATAAATAATTTATTTTCTTATTTTCCTATTATATAAGTATTAAGAAAAAAACGTCAAATATAGCAAAACATTTTTAAAAGCAAAAAGATGTACAAAATGAATTACTTAAGAAAAAAATTAATAAAATTTCTCATAGTTCAGCGTACATAGCATATTAGTTTCTTAATTATATGGACTGATAAAAATTGTGAATAAATTGCATATCAAAACTTTCAATTGTTGTTAAATCATTATAAAAGATAATGTTTTTATCAACAACCACTCTAAAAAAATGAATACAAAAGTTGTATAAAAAATTTATTTTAATTTTTTTTTAATTTACTTTTTTTAATTATTAAATTTTTTTATTAAATTAAAGTTTATTTAATTAAACTTGATATTTTCTTAAAACTTTTTTGAGGAACGTTCTTTTACGTTCATTTTTGAAGTTTTTGGAAAAATATTTAGTTTTTGATTTTTTTTAAAAAAAAAGAGTTATTTTTCTGAAAATTTTCGAATTTTCTCTCAAATTTTTGAATGGCCACTTTGTTTTATCCAAAGATAGTTTGTAGTTTGTAAAGAAAAATATGTTATAAAATTTCTTTTCTGATTCTTAGTATGATTCAAGCATTATAAATTTTGTTAGTTAAAAACTAATATGTTCAATTGTTTTACTACTTTAAATTTTGTTAACAACATATTAAATTACTTAAAAAAGAGGTGGAATGGTTGCAAAGAAATATTGAGCAAAGCAGAATGATTTCTTGAACTGTAGGGTGAATCTTACTACAAGTGTTTGATGATTGATCTGTTTTTTGAGGATTGTTTTTTTTTTCTTAGTAGATAAGTTTAGCTTTTTGCGGCGAATTATTAAAACCCTTTATAAATTAAAAGCAAACTGCCATATTCAGTTTGTCTATAAAAATTACTTTAAACATGGATGAACAAGGCATGCGACAGCACGCGCTTTCTGGGAAAGTTTGGTAAATAGTAAAAAATTTCAGCTTTTATGAAAAAATAAGAACAAGTGATTAAAAAACAGTCTAATTAAAAATTAGCTAAACAAAATTAACTGTTATTTGTTAAGATAAACTGAGATCCTTTCCAACCATGTAACTATTTACAGGGATTCATCACAAAGATCTCAAATTAAATACCTACCCTCTTTGATAGCTATATTGCTGCTAATAACACAAAATAGTAGCTAATAGGTCTAGGTAGCTATAACTTCTTACTAATGGCAGTAGATGTAATCAAATCTTATACAAAACACTCTAATTTGACTTAAACATGATTACTTATCTTTTTAGTATTGATGAGCCCAATTACTGAACTTAATGCTATAAATGAGAGTTTATGAAACCTATATTATACACAGTGCTGTGCCAAAAGCACCCCAAACCCCCCGGTTGGGGGGGGCCTAGGAATTCGAAGGGGCCCTTTTTGAAAATTAAAATTATGATATAGGTGTTTTTTATTTATTTATAATATTAAAACTTCGTATTAACGTTTGCTTATTTTTTCAAATTCGGTAAACCTAACAAAATGATGCATGTATTGACATGCATACAATGATGATTGTATTGACTGGCGAATACAAAAGAGGGGGTGGGGATTAGCCCCCAAAGAACTATCAAACTTTACATTTTTATTAATAAAAATTAAAAAAAAAAAAAAGAAAAATAAAAAAAAGCTGTTTTAAAGTTATACACACATTTAATATATATACCGTATAATCTCTCTAATTCGAATCTCCTTAATTTGAAAACCTCCATAAATCGATTAAATGTAAAGTCACCGTGAAATACCCTTATGTGAAAAAAACTTTCTGTAATTCTAAAATCACTTTAATTTAATTTTTTTATTTTCCCCATTTTTGTTCGAATTAGAGAGATTGTACTGTATATATTTGCCAATATATAAACATTGTAAATAATCAAATGAAATAGTTGTTTAACCTAAAAAATAGGGCCCTTTTTTTTGTTGTTGTTCCGACTATCCGCCATTAGGACCAATCAGTGACCTGGATCCGCCATTGATTGTATTGCTGAGTTAGTGGACGTTTTATTTTAGTAAAACTTTCGTTTAGAAAGTTTTGTTTAGCTTAGTTTAAGTTAAATCTTATGAAAAAGATGCTTTGTATTACTAAATTGGTCTACGCAGCGCAAAGATACAGCTGCCGATTTTTAATTTAAAAAGCAATCTTTTATTCAAAAGATTGCCTGCCCAGGCCAAAACCCTCCGCCTATGTATGTACGTTCCACTACACCAATCCTTAGATAGTCAGTCGATGTATACACACTCCACTTCGCCAATTTCTAGATAGTCAGTAGACGTGTGTACACTAAATTGTGTTTACCCCTATATCAGTATACAAGTATATAATTGCAACCTATAAAAAGAAACAATCAGATTTCGCTACTTGCTGAATTCCGATTGGTTCATTAATAGTCACAATGACTATTAGTGACTTTAGGCACAAAAATTAAAGCAACAGTACCGTTGCGCTAGACACAGCGTTTAGTTAAATTACAAAACATCAAATTATTATTTAATTCCAATTTTTTTTTTTTCCTTCTTACTTTTTAATTTTATCGATAAAACTTTAAAGGTTGACAGTTCTTAGGGGGTGCGGGTATGGGGGTGAGGAAGGAGTGATTTTAAAAACAAATTACCCCCTCATTAACCGGGGGACGGGCTTGACGTGTTACAAGGGCCCAAAATTTTTTTTTGGGGGGGGGGGCCTACCAACTGTCTGGCACGGCACTGATTATACACTATAGTGTTTTGAGAAATATTATTTACAATTTTGAGAAATATTATTTACAATCCTTTATTACTAATATCTTTTATTATTTCATCATTCAAATCCATCCAATCATTAACAATTATCTTTTATTATTTCATCATTCAAATCCATCCAATCATTAACAATTAACTGGCCTATAAAAAAATATGAAAAAACAAACACTGGTACTTTTTTTGTTTTCTAGTAGTTATTACATTTTGATGTTATTTTTTATTTATTTAGCTTTTCATTAGAGGTGTTAAAACTATGCAGTAGTGCTGTAGTGTAGTAGTGCTTGATTGCTTATTCATGGTTATGAATATTCATAAATAAGAGCAATTCCTAGAAGTACAATAACATGTTTTTTAAAGTTTAGAGAAATTTATTTTTAAAACTAATTTACTTCTAAACCACTTATTAAGTTAGCAGAGTACAAAGAAGAGAGTTAAGGAGCACTCAATGAAGACATAAAAGATGGTAAACTAAGGAGCGCTCTATAGAAAACATAAAAAACTATAAGGAGCGCTCAATAGAAGACAAAAGATGGTAAACTATTACCATAGTAGTACTTGTATAAAAGATGCAACTTTACAACAATGGGACAGACGCTCTAAGTTTACAGCTAGAAGGCCTTATATGCCCACGCATATAATATTTTGTTTTGATAACTTGGCCACAGCTCTTTGCATGTTTTAAGTTTTTAAAAAATGTGCTGAATAAACAAGATGAAAACTTGAACTAAAATTTAAAATAAACAGTAAACTAAGGAATATACAAATATATATTCCTTATATAAGGAATATATAAAAAATAAAAATCTTAACGAATGATAATAATGATAAAAATGATATAATGAATAAAATGAATGATAAAAATGATATAATGAATAAAATGATATAATGAATAAAATTAATGTTTTTATTTTAATTAAATAGTGTTTCACTACATATAATTTAGAAAAATTCAAAGTTTCAAAGTTATTTAATCCAAGCTTATTTACTTCGAAAAATTATTTAAAAATTTGAAACTTTGATATTTTCTAATATCTAGGAAGCAAATAACAGTTGCGCCTCCTAAATGAAACAAATGATCAACCTATGCGCTACATCAATGTGATCGATCCAATCTAGGAAAAATTATTAGCTTTAAAATATTAATTGAAAAGCTTTTAAATTAATTAAGTTGGAACTATTAACTGCTACTAAATTAATAAATATTAGTTTTATGCTTTTTTTGTCTGGTTTATCCTTAGTTGATTCTATTATTCCTTATGCTCATTTCTCTTTTCAGTTTATTGTTTATTTTTAATTTTCTCTTTAAATTAGTTTTGTATTTTCAGCACATTTTTTAAAACACAAAAATTATCAATATATGCAAAAAACGGTTGAAAAGTTGTCAAAAAAAAAAAAAAAAAAAAAAAAAAAGTATGCTTGGTCATATAAGGTGTGCGGCCACACATGCCTAATATAACCAAGAAGAGGACTCAGTAAGAATATTGTCATTTATCAATATAAAAATATGAAAAATGTTGTAATAATTATAGGCAGTAAACAACTGAATTTTGTTTGTGTTGAAACTGACAAGCAACTGCAAGTTCCAAGAAGTCACAGAAAAGAAATCAGATTCAAGATTGTCTAAGCAATTAAAATGACTGTTTGCCAAGACTAGAGTATATAATTGTGTCAACAGAGAATAGAGCCACTTTAGGGCTAAAAGTCATGCTTTTTAATTACTTAAACAGACAGCTGATCCCTAAGAGTAATCTTAAACATGACCAGGAAGATATATATATAAACATAGATGAGGAACAACAAAAGACCAAGGATGGAACCTTGTGGTACCCCAGAAATTACTAAAAATGAAGAGAGTGCTATCCATCAAGAACAACCATAATACCGTGGTTAGAAAAGAATGATTCAACAAGTGTAAAAACTTTTCTGGACACATCATATAAAACTTACCAAGTACCAACAAGTCACTTAGTTAACTGGTTAATAAAATTTGAAAAAATAAGTTATAAATTCCAACAAACTTTAAAACATATAAAATCAACATCTTTATTTCTAATTAACATGTTCATTAGAAATAAAGATGTTGATTTCCAGAAGGCAAAAAAAAAAAAGATTCAAAAAGATTATAATTTTATTTTATATGTTTTAAAGTTTGTTGGAATTTATAACTTATTTTTTCAAATTTTTTTAAATTTTATTAACCAGAACCATATTCAGATTAGCATTTGGCAATACCGACTTAAAAATCTATCTATCTTTGTTTTACTGCAGACTTGAATCTCTAAAAATGTCTGCAAAAACAAATGTAAAAAATTTGTTCAATGAGTTCATAGTTAATTATTGAGATAATTTGATTTTAAAGTTAAATAATTTTAATTTAAAAAAAAAAAAACTTTTTTTAATTTTATTTTTTAATTTTTTCTAAAGTTCATCCATAATGAGCATAGTTATTAATTCATTCAGAGTAAAAAAAAAAATACTTTTCATATGTCTGCTGTTCTATTACTTTTTTATTCAAAATTTTAGCGGATTATTATGTTATTAAGTTTTAAAAACTAATATTAATTTATTTTATTATGTAAAACCATTAATTTACATGTGTACAACATTTTAACTTTATTCAAGATCAGAAAATTTAATAGAAAAGTTTAGTCTTTGTACAGTAGTTGACTATCACATTAGGACCACACATTTTTTTAATAATTTATTATAATTATATGATTTAAATTCCCATATGTCAGAATAAATATGTTATTTTTTATTACATATCAAGTTATTATTATTCTTAGTTAAGTTTGATAATTTTAACAATTGATAACTCTGGCTGTCATCAATAACTTAATTAATAAGTTAATTTTGTGCATTTTGGCTAATTTAAGGTTATTTTTATTGATTAGTTTGATTTAAATTTTTAATGTGATCTAGTTTCAAAGTTTGAGTGCTTACTTTTTTGTGTGAAACTAAAGATAATTAGTAATGTATTATCTTTAAATAAAAGATTTAATGATTTTTGCTTTTTTTAAGCGTTGAAGTAAAGATTTTAAAGGCAATACACCTGATCTCAGCCCCATAGAAAACATTTAGGAGCTAGTAAAGTGAAAGATTGAAAAATAAATTATAATTAACAGAAAGATCTTATGGAAATGATTATTAGGATCTGACACAATAACCTAGAGTTAACAAACTATAAAAAAGTCAATTGCAAATATGCCCAGATGCATCAAAGCAGTTGTTGTAAATAAAGGCAGTTTAACAAAATATTTAATAACCAATAATTATTCAAAATGTTTAAATTTTTTGTTTATATTTTATCAAGTAATACTAATACTTTTTTTATTTATTTAAAAAGTAGTTTTGAGTCGCACCATACTGGAAAAATCTCTTGTACCCTACTCTCCTCCCCTTCTCCCACATCCCTAAGTAATACATTATGAATAAATCAACAAGCTTTAAAATGTACTGTTGTTTTAAGAAAAAAACTTATCCCAAAAGTGTGAAAAGCACTAGCCATTCGCAATTGCAATACGCTTAATTTATAAATTTCCAAATATTTTCCTAATATATAGTATCTTCATTAGTAGGAAAACTATGGAAACAGAATAGCCTCTTTTTTTGTCATCATTTGCCAAGCCAAGTTTTACCATGTGTTTTGAATTTCCATGGTTTTAGCAGTTTTGTATAATTAAGCTTGTAAGTCTTACTCTTGCTGTTAGTATTACTGTTACTACAGCAACTGACTACAAAAATAAAATAAAAAATTTTCTTGTTTATTTTTTAGCAACTTTTGCTTCTTTAAAAAATCAAACTAAACAAAACAAAAATTTTTTTTTCAAATTAAGTTAACAAAAAAAACTTTTCAACATTTCAAAAATATTTTTTTTTTTATTTCTAAGCTTTTATAAAAACATATTATTTAAACAATTCATTTAATCAAAAGAAAGACTAACATACCTGGTTCATCTGATCCATCAGGACAGTCACAATAATCATCATTTATACTTGCAAAAGGGATTGTATTTGAACGATCAAAACAGGTAAAATCTTGCTTTGGGTTATAAAAAGATTGAACTAAAGAATATAAAAAATTTATAAATATCATATCCGTTAACTTAATTAATTGACAGAGAAAATTTAAATGACAACCAAGCTGGTCCTCATTACATGTTTAAAGTACATTAAACATGTTTAAAGTACAATGAAACATTAAAATGTTAGTGACTAAAATTAAAAAGAGAATTACTTTAGTGCATGCTAATTCTTTTTTGAATAATTTCTTTAATGTTTTATTAAATTAAAGGTAAATTATAGCAACTACAAAGTTTCATTTAACAATTATACTAAAAACAATAGTCAAACAGCAGTCAACTTCTTATTTCCTTATTTTTCTTTTTTTAATTCTTTTTTAAACATCTTTAACCACAGGTAAACTCTATTAGAGTTGGAAGTTACCGCCACTACTAAGTTTTAAGTTACAGAAAAGATGAAGTTTATAAAGCAAAATAATAATTAACAAACAACTTAAAAGATGGCAAATTATATAAATCAGGAAAACAAAATGAAGGAAGTAAATTCAAAAGAAATGATTTAAAGAAAAAAAACTAGACAAATAAGAATTTATGGAGCATTTAAGAACAGTCACAGTAAAAGGATGAAATTTAATTAAATGATAAGTAACACGAGAATCAATTTTAGTAGATGACACAAAATATGCTAGTGGTTTAGAGCAGGGTCCATTATAGTATTTATCAAAAAAGAAAATTCTAATTTGCTCCCAAAAAAGCTGCAAGCAACCACTACTATATTTGGAGTTACTAGAAAACAAAGAATAGAGTTAAAGAGCATTGTAACAATTAACAAAAGACTCAAAAAACTTTTTAAAATGTTGTTTACTATGTTTACAATGCGTTTTTGGACCTTTCTAAAAAAGAAAAAGCATCATTAGAAGAATGAACCTAAATATGACAATAGTATTTCATATAAATGGGGTAATGGAATGGGATAATAGAATCAGGATTAGATAATAGCAAGCTTGATTGAGAGAAGCAACCTAAGCACAATCTAACTTAGCAATGGATTTGATATACGGTTTCCAAGAAAGATTGGAAGTAAGAATTATATATAGTTTCCATGAGAGGTCAGTAGTGAAGATAATCCAAGAAGACATAAAAAAAAGGACTCAGCGAGTGGTAGTCATTCATTAATAAAGGAATGTTAACAATATTTTTATAGTTGTTTGCAGTAAATAATTGGGTTTTGTTAAAGTTAAATTTTGCTAACCACTGCAAGCCCTAATCTGTTACAGAAGTGAGATCAAGCAATCAAAAAAAAGTTCAATATTCAAGATCAAGGGATTAAAAAGAGAAGACTTTTTGCCTCTATCTAATGCACAATAGAATCTTTCAATCACAGCAGTGAGCAAGTCAGCCATAGAACCAGAAGATAAAAAACCATAAAGGTTGTCCAACAGAAAGTTCTAGGCATAGCTAGAAGAATATTTTTCTATTATTCTCTCTTAACCTTCAATCAAATTTAAATTTGTTGAATATTTAAAATATGATGTTTTTAAAGTCATTTTTTACTAACAGTTTAAACAAAAGAGTTTGACAATGTTTAAACAAATATTTATTTTACTAATGAAATACATTCCCATTCACGTGATTTAATTATTATGTTTAAATAAATGATACATAAGCACTTTTAATTAAAAGAAAATGTAATTTTGAAAGTTATTTTGAATTGAGAAAAAAACGTGATTTAAATTAAGAAAAAGATTTTTTTTGTGCCGCCGGATGACCATGAGGTTTCACTCCCAGAGATTTGACTTGGGATCAATGATAAGGAATAAAAGATTCCATACCTAGCTGGATCCAAGAGCCTACAAACCTAAGGTACAACTTGCTAATTATAGAAGAATCTATATAGATATCAAATTTGGGTTCTCTTTTTATATATATATAACATTATTTATTTATTTGATTCAGATAACAAGTAAAGTACAAGGTCCATAGTTAAGATAAAAAAAACAAATAAAAAAATAATTAAAACTTCTGTTTAATCTATACATAGCTGCATTGCTGCTGGCACAGGTAATCCACCAATTTTATAAAGCTAAGTCTGTAGTTATGTATCTAGATTAGGCAAGAATTTCACCTTACCGTACATCATTGCTTATGTTAAAGCGATCAGAGTTTACTTTCTGCCATCTGAAAAACATAGTTTGATTCTTGTACCAAGATGCAAGTAGACAGACAACATTCATGGCAATACCCTGATCAATTAATTTAGAAAACAGTTTCCAATAATTAACACAATTAAAAGCTTTGTTTAAATCTATAAAGCATGTGAATACATGGCTTCCTCCAAAAATATAGTATTCAACTGTCTTTAATATGTCAAATAATATATACAAAACATTGTGGAATAATTTTTCTTGAAACCAAACTGAAAATCATCAGCATTCTCATGAGATTCGATACTTTCTAATAAAATACCTTCAAGTATATTAAAACAAGCAGGAGATTTATATATATCTAGAAGTTTCCTTCTATTTTGCTTTTATTTTATTAGACTATTAACAGAGTTAATAGTCCTTGGCCTTGACCTTGCCTTAAGGCCAAAAATTGAGGTTTTGGCCTTGAAACTGTTGGCCTTGGTCTAGGCCTTGCTACTTTTAAGCTTTGTTAACAACTCTGAAAATAATTCATTTGATAATCTTTTAATGCTAAAGGGAATCAATTTTAGGAACTTTACATAAAAGTAACTGGTTAAGAAGAGTTTTTAGTTATCACTCTACAAACACTCTTTATTAACCTAAAGTCCCCTATGAAAACATCACTTAGTAATCCTGGAACTAAATGTTAAATTTATTTTGTTTACTGTAACAGTTTGTACAGTATAAATCTAAATGCTCTGTTGCTTATCACCCAATAGATGGATAAAAATTGATGAATTTTACTTGGGTCTATCGAATGTCTATCGTCCAATTGAAGTCGATCTTGTAATAAAAAGTCAACACATTTTGTATTGTTTTTTTTTTTTTTGAAGTTTGGTCTGATGGTCAATATAAAAAAAAAAAAAACATTAAATTATGCTTAGTTATTAATAATAACTAAATATAATGCTTTTCAAAATGCTGAGTAAATTAAGTTTTCATTTCAGTAGTTTTAAGACAAGATTTACCTACTTAACAATATTATTTAGGTGCAATTAATTTTTTTAACTTACTTTAATTAAGTTATGTAATGCAAAAATAATTATAACACAGTAATACCCTACATCTTAATTCAACGCCTCTTATAGTGACGACAGAACAGTCTAAATAACAGATAAAGATTGATAAACTATAAACTACAAACACGTAGCCGACCGCCATTATTGACTTTTATATACTCTCTTTACTTACTGAGGGAAACGTTAAATCCGATCCTTTAAAGTGCAATCTAAATTTTACTGACCGATGCGATCTCCAACGGAAATATAGTTGTACTTTAAAATAAAAGAACTCTGAGATTTTTAATAACATTTAATAACATTTTTATTTAATATTTATTATTAATCATGTTAATATTACTAATATTTTCGTTTAATATCAATTTAATAATATTTATATCACATTGTAAATGCAGTAATCGGGTCTAGAATTTTTAAAAACTGTTCAAACAACACTTGGACGGATTGGATTTAACGTTTCCCACTTACTGAGAGGAGGAAGTTGGGGGGGGGGGATAAAAGAGGATAATGCTTAGAAAAGAATAATAAATAAAAAAATAAAAGTATAGATAGATATACAAAAGCTTTTTTAGGAGTTTTAAATTTGGAGACAAGAGATTAAAGATAAGAGTAGTTTAAGATTTTTTTTTTTTTAATTTTATTAAATGTTTTATATATACTACTATATTACATAGTTATTATTCTTTCTTTTTTTTTATTACATGTTTAATGGGGGATTCGGAGGATTGGTGGAAAGGTTAAAAACTTGGAAAAAAATTTATTATTTGAAGGTAGTAGTTAAATGAAATTGAGAAGATTTTTTTATTAAAATTGGAGATTTTTAAATCTACTCTTCTATAATTTTTTTAATTTTATTTGATTTTTATGTAATAAAATAAAAAAATAAAAAAATTTATCACATAAAATTCACCAGAATTTTATTACATAAAATTCACCATTAATCTCTTAGCCAAGCGCTAAGCTAGTGGTGGCTTGGTTTAAACACGTAACACAACAGCCCAAGTTTTAACATTTTGTTTGACATTGAACTCAATGTCAAACAAAATGTTAAAACTTGGGCTGTTGTGTTACGTGTTTAAACCAAGCCACCCACAAGCACATATAAAAAATATATATATTTTATATGTGCTTATATATATTATTATTATTATATATATATATATATATATATATATATATATATATATATATATATATATATATATATATATATATATATATATATATATATATATATATATATATATATATATATATATATATAGAGAGAGAGAGAGAGAGAGAGAGAGAGAGAGAGAGAGAGAGAGAGACAGAGAGAGACAGCACAGAAAAAACTCGAAACCGCTAATCCTTTTTTTAAGCTGTTAAAACCAATCTATAAGTAAGAAACTTGAATTTTTTTTTCTTCGGGCAGTGCCATTATAGTGGGCTGGGCTGTGTAAAGAGTAGAGAAGGTTGAAGAGGGGATGAACAAATTACATAAACGGTGTTGCGCAAACCAACGCAAAATTTTTCTTACACAGCAAAATCCACGATTCTTGTTTTAAGCAAAAAAAGTCTTAAAACAAGAAAAAAATGGCTTGTCGCCAAGTAGGAATATTTTTTCTTGTTTCAATAATTTTTTTTCTTAAATTTTTTTTTTTTTTTTTGTTTCAAGAATTTTTGTTCTTAAAAAAAATATATTTTTTCTTGTTTCAAAAATTTATATTCTTAAAATAAAAACTTTTTTTATTTGAAGAATATTTTTGCTCAAATAAAGATTTTTTTTTTTGTTTTATATTTTTTTTTTATTAATAAGAATTTTTTTCATTTTATTTTAAGATTAATTTTGCTTAATATTCTTTTTTCTTGTTTCAATAATATTTTCCTTGAACTGTAAAACAATATTACAAGAGCATTTTTTTATGGAAAAAATAAAACATTTCGAAATTATGATGATATAAAATAAGAATATTCAAAAAGTATTTATACATTTAAACAACTCTTATCGTTGAAATAAAACTTGTTGTTCTTTGGAATGTCCAGTTATTGTAAATGTTTGTAACGGCAATACTCCTCCCATCTGACCCAAACAATTTCTGTTGAACATTTATTTTAAAATAAAATATAATATAAGTGTAAAATATAATGTAAATTATGTATGTCGTCATGATATGGGCGTCATAATACTTGTTCATTACATAGTGTATTTCGATAAGTCCAATCACGGCGTGAGAAAATGAAAAACTTCGTAAAATAATCTTTCTGCCATGAATAACGATTGCCTCGTCTCCATCGTCTGTTATGATAAGGATTTTTTTTTAATCTGAAAATAAATTTAACAAACTCAAATCTATGTTCAATATAAGATTTCCTAAAATTTAGCATTACATCTTTTCATATCTTAAAATCAGGCCCGCCGTGAGCCTTTGCGGCGCCCAGGGTCAAAATTTCCTAAGCGCCCTGCTGAAAGTGAAAGCTGATCTAATGATCCATAATTCAATACATATAATAAGCCATTTGATAACAAATCAAAGAGGATAAAAGAATATAGAATTTTTTAATTTTAATTAATGAACATTCGAACTGTTTATTTCTAGATAATTGCAATGGTCTTTTTACTTGGTTATACATAATTTTTTACTTGGTTTACTTGGTTATACATACATAAAATGATAAAGTCGACACTAGAACATGGTAGAAACAGACCAATAACAATCATTAAACACTATTGGATGTTAAGAGCAAAAATTTGTCTATACAACAGCTATTGTTGTTTCAACTTCAGAGGAAATTGATCTTTTGAGCTTTACTCATGGCGAATTTGGAAATCACTTCACCGTAGCACAACTTTTTGGCAAGATCATGCTCAATGGAAATAACCAGAAGATTCGTGAGTCGTTCTTGGCTCATTGTAGACCTTAAAGCTGTCTTAACTAGAGCAAGCTTACTAAAAGATCTCTCGCCTTCCGCAACAGAAACAGGGATGGTGTTGAAGATGCGCAGCAAAATGCAGACTGATTCGAAGAGCGGCTGAAGACCTTTCTGGTATATTCCATTCAATAACGTCATGGAAGTGAGAGATTCTTTTGGACCAAAAAGATTGGATCGCTTCAGAGCATCGAGGTGGTGGACCTCTTCAATAAGTTTCTCTTCCTCAACATCGGTAGATTTGTGCCAAGACCTTGCATTTCTCCTCCAATTGGATAGGTGCTTCAACACTTTCTTCTGATTCTTCTTCATTTGACATAACAAGAGATTTCAATGACCACAAGAACGAAAACATATTCGTCGTCTTCTCAGCAGCTTGGAATCTATCGCTGACTCTATTGCTGAATAAAAAGCAAAAGAGTTTGAGGTAAGCGTATTCAATACCGCTCTTGAAGTATCAAGAGCGGTATTGAATACGCTCACCTCAAACTCTTTTGCTTCGTCTTCATGGAAATGAGCGGTGTTCCTCACCTCTTCGTGAAAGGTCTTCCTTTTTTTTGTCCTCTTCTTTACAAATTCTGATTGAAAACCAAAAGAAGCAAGACCAGATGCTATCAAACGTGCCTCATTAAGGATGCTGGTCCAAGATGATCTCAGTCAATTTAGATCTTCAATAAGAGTCTTAATGAGTTTCATCTCGTCGTCCAAGGAGATATTTTCTGATTGGAGTGCAAGGCTCACGTAGTTGATTGATTGAAGAGTTTTATACCAAAAGGTTGTCATTACGATGAACTCGAATGAATGAACCCACTTCTCCAGAGATTTTACTTCATTCAATTGATCAGCTGTTAGATCAAAATCGCGGAGCTTTTTCAAAGATTCGAGGATTTCCCTGGGTCGCTTGACTAACGGCTTCACGGACTCGATTCGCGCACTCCATCTGGTTTGCGACGTTTGATGAAGGGACAAACCAGTGGTTTCAATCAAGACTTTCCACCGACTAGGGCTTCCACTGAAAAGATTGTAAAGTGACTGGACTCGGCCAAAATAGTTCTTGACTTCAACCGAAGATTCAGCAGAATGAACACCAGCAAGGTTGAGACTATGAGCGCTGGATGGCATATAGAGAGCTTGATGATTTTTTTGCAGTATAATCGCCTGTACTCTTTTGTATATACCGGACATGTTCGCTCCATTGTCATATCCTTGACCTCTGCAGTTTTTGATATTGATTCCATTTTGTTCTAAGACGTCCATAATAAGCTTGGCAATGTCAGCACCTATCTTTTTTTCAAGATTCTCGACTCTCAGAAAGCGCTCTTTCACGGTCCATCTTTTGTCAGTACCAACAAAGGTGATTTGCTCGGTGTGAGAGACGTCCGGAGTCCCGTCCACAAGAATGGAATAGTAGATGGCCATATGAGCTTCGTTGATGATGGCACCGTAAACGATTCCTCCGCACTCTTTGATGAATTCATTTTGAGTGCTCCAGCCCAAGTAATGGGCATTCATTTTGTTACCTTCTTGTTGGCAGCGGGAAACTTCTTCTAAGTGTAGTTGGAGAGTCTTGTTGTGCTTGGCCAAGAGCTCTAGGTTAGCTAGAAAGTTGCCATTGTCGTCATCTCCAATCATTTTTGATGAATCTAAAAATTATAATAATAAAACAGATTTATTTAAAACAATAAAGAAGCATTTGTTTTATTTTATGATGATTCTATGATGATTTTATATTATGATTTATGAATATTATAACATATTTATTTAAAAGAATAAAGAAGGATTTATTTTATTTAATGATTTTCAAAATATCTAGTTAATCTAATAAATATAAGCTAAATAGATTTAAAGATAGTTGATATCACAATAGAATAATGGTAAATAGATTTACCTCTGAAACTAAGGTATCGTGACGCTAAAAAAAGAGTAACATCTAAGATGCATCGTAGAATTGTTTCTAGCGCCGTTTTCCATTCTATGTAAAAGTTTCAATGCTGGGCGTTATTCTGGTGACTTTTGACTTTCTCAGGTAGCTTGTGCCAGTTGCAGCTTATTCCATCATTCCATCTTAGAAGGTGCGACTGGTGTCCGATCCCAAAAGATTGTTTGCTTCCAAACAGAGAACACGGAAAGCAAATAGTTTCGTAGAAAATTGATTCAGGAACCTTCTTCTTATTAGAATCTTTCGGGAAAGCTGAAGGATTTCGAGGAAGCCCCTGTAGAAGCACAGAATCTCTTTCCACTTTGGAAAGATGTGCTGCCCACAAAGCAGGATCATTGGAAGGAATGGCAGCGATGGGTTCTTCTGTTGGCAACACCTGAGAATAAATTTTAAAAAATCTTATTTTATTAGCTTAAAAGTTTATTAACATCATTTCTTTTAAAGAGGTAGAACTTACCAAAATATTCTCTTCATTCACAGCTACCATTCCGATAAACAAGTTTATTATTGATTACAACGGTGTTATTGAAATTATTGAAAGACCACTAGTAATGCAAAGACTGGTACTACTGTGAATAAAATGTGTAAACAGCTACAAAAAAGTAATTTAGGAATTATAATTGGTATATTCAAACAGCTATTTGTTACATTAAATAAGTAATGAACTAAAGTGTTCACAAGTTTTCTATTTTTACAGATATAAATGTTTTATATTATTGATTTTTTATACAAATGTTGGTGTATATCTTAAAAAACTGTGTTTCTCTCATTTATATTCATTAATATCCATTTATATGTTGCATGTTCAAAAACCAAAACAATTTGTAAGGTTGTTTTTCAAAGTTGATAAACATCTGGTAAGGTATCAGATATACTTTGTATGAGGTTAT